ATATCTTCACTGCAAGTTAGTCTGGGCCTATCCAGGTGTTGCCTTACCACTCCTCTCATCCATGCACAAACATCTCTCACCTGAGTTAAGTGGTGCTTTCAACCCAGGCCACGTGGCCTGGTTTGGGTTTAGAGCTCAGGTTCCACTTTCACGGAGCAGGTAACCTGTTCCCTCTGCAGCGAGGACACAGGCTAAAATCACTTGACTGCTGATAATCCTCCAATGCCTTCCCACAAATCCCCCCTGTACTCAGAAGGATAGATAAGTTCTCCCACAACTCACTGGGAAAGAATCATGGAGAGGCTCAGTTTAGTGCATCACAAGGAACCATGGGAAATGTCTCCAGAAGACTCAGTGATACACATGGGTGAGTGTAGCACCAGTGAGGACATCATAACCTGAGTAGGTCTTTGTAGAGTGGCTGCTGTTAAGTCACGTGCTCAGACCTGAGTACCAATCACCCAGGCTCATTCTGCAGAGAAGACAGACCCACAGACCCATTCATAGAATCACAGAATCGAATCATAGAATATCAGGGTTGGAAGGGACCTCAGGAGGTCATCTAGTTCAACCCCCTGCTCAAAGCAGGACCAATCCCCTGTTAAAAACCAGCTGAGGAGGCTAGCTGGTGGCGTAGATTAATGCAATAAAGGAAAATTGGGTTTAGATCATAGAAAATATTGTTAAGTTTTCTGTGAAGGCCTGAAAAACAAACCACCAACAAAATCAGCCTGGTTTATTATCATTATAACTTTAGTGTCTGACTCACTGGATATATTTAAGTGATGAATCCTTGCAGTAAGACGCATTATACCAGACTTAATATCCTTCAGATAGCTGAGGAAGGGTGTATAATGGCCTTGTGTAATATTTATGTGTCCATGTTTTATGAAATGTGGACCCTACTCATATATCTAGTTAACATCCAAAGTATTAAATACTTTAGCAACTGTTGCTAGCGCTGTGTTGCATATTGTTTAGATAGGTTTTGTAGTAGATTGAAAAGGTTTTGTATTTGATAGAAAAGAATAAACTACATTTTGAAGACCTTTGGACTGTCAAAGAGAGCAATGAGATAACCTTGCTCTGAATTTTAAGAGTACAATTGTCTTAATATAAAACAATGCCCACGAAAGAAAGATTCTTAAAGACTAACGAAAGGGAGTTTTCCATTCAAAGGGATACTACTGTCAAGTCAAATGTGGTCCTAAATGTCGGCTTTGTAAAAACAAGCTTTTACAAGACCTAAACCAATAGAGACATTTTTACGAATTTAAAAAGAAGGACAATGGACAATTTTTTAAAACAACAACGAAATTTCCCTGCAGTATATGCCACCCTATCATTGAAGCATTAAGTTAGGGCATGGGAAAGCTGAAGACAAAACTGATTAGAAAGTCATGATAAGCCAAAGAGAACCTGACAAATTCATTTTCAATTGTCAAGCCTGAGGAAAAAAACCAAACAGCATAAATAGCGGCAAGTGAACAAGATTTTTAAAAAAGTATCTGTTTTCCTTTCCTAAGGGCCCTTTCTTTGAACAGCCAAAGTTGACTTCAGTGGTAGTACTGGGAATTCTAGGAATGTAGGATGTAACCTTCAAATGTTACCTGCAAAATAGGTAAGGAGATTTGTTTTAAAAACTATATAGGAAATGCCATACTGGATCAGACCATATAGTCCAGTGTTCTCTCCAGTAGTGGTTGACACCAGCTACTTCAAGGATGGTGCAAGAAACTGTGCAGTAGGTAGTTATGGGATAACCTGTCCACAGAAAAGTTTCTTCCTAACCCCCATCAGTTAGAAGTTGGCTAAAGCCCTGAAGCATGAGGGTTTCTATCGCTTGCAAACATTTTTTGTTTTAATCTTTACTTTGGGACTTAACTCTGGATGTTTTCATTATGTTTAACCCTTCACAGTGACCTTTCAGTGCAGAATGTAAAACACAAAGTTTACCTGATTCAAAGAAGCTGACTCAAGAGTCTATTAACAGTGGCATAAAGTGGTAGGGTATGTTCCATTATTTTGCCACTTACACTCAACATGTAACTTGCACTGGTTTTGTATTCCTCGAGAATCAAATTCTGCCTGATGTGGTGGATTCAACTCCCTTTGAGACCAATGTATAGTGTTGGTGTGTAACAGTGTGAGAGGGGCTTTACAAAAAAAAAAAAATCTTTCATGCTCTTAGTAACTTCTCCTGCTCCCTGTCTAAGTTTTATTTGCTTAGGGCACCAGAGTGGATGGAGCAGGTGTATGTTACCCTCTTTTGCCACGTACACCTAACATGTAGCTAACACCACTGTTTATATCACTTCTGGATATGGCCCAGAAATTCCTCCAGGAGTTGCACTTCCCCTCTCCAGGCTACATTTGGCGGAATTAGCCCATGATCTTTATGCTCACACAATCCCATATACATAAGCCGCACTCAGATTGTTTTCAAATAGAATGTTTACATGTATGTTGGAATTAAGCAGTTTGAAACAGCAAAATATTATATATATATCTCTAATCTATATTTATATATATAAGAAACATCAAAAATTCAAATTGATTTACATTGTTTTGTTTATTTGGGATTTGTTGATAGAATTATGCTTTAATACACCATAATAGGAGATAATTAAGATGTAAGTGAGGTGTAACAGGATCATGAATGGCTGAAGGTCAGGACTATATTATAGAAGACTAAAAATAAAATACCAGCAGATTGTTTCTGGGCCTGAATGAGCTGATTCTGCCAAACCATACTGTCAGGTACCAGGAGTCCAGAAAACCATGACAAACTGGGCAGCCAGCAGACTGTTCAGATGACCCTCTCCTCCCTAATTTACCTTATGGTTTTGAGAATTGGGGGTACAGGAGAAAAATAACCCTCAACCCAAAAAACTTTATGAAGACTCTGACCTAGGTGAGAATGCTGAAATAGTCTGCTTGAGGGGTTGCCCATAAATTGATCTCAAAATTCTGGACCCAAACTCTGTTTACCTGCCAAATCAGTCCTCTGTGATGTGTGTCCTTCCCTTGGAGTTAATCCACCAGGAAGGAGTTCTAATGTACTTCTGCCTTGAATCATCAGAAGATCTTGGTTTCATACAGTAGTTGATCTTTCTGATTGTCCACGAATACTCCCCCTGGCAACTGATACATCTACCTGATAGGCAGGAATGAGGCAAATGCTTAGAGCTTCCTGCCAAAAGGAAGAAATGGTGCTAGCTGGCAAGGGAAGAGGAGGCTTATGCTCTAACCACCATTCTGGGATAAAACCTGACCAATGGTACAGAGAATTGGTCCCATAATTCCAGTAACACAGGTACATGTGGCTGAGATAAAAGGAGCTCCATGTTAGCTGCAGGAAAACTAGGAGACAGCATTGGTACAAAGGAGAGCAGTGGGAGTTCTTCCGCACTGAGTGGGAAAGAAACAAAGTCTTCAGGTTTCAGAGTAGCAGCCGTGTTAGTCTGTATCCGCAAAAAGAAGAATCTTCTTTTCTCCTCTCCCAGAAGGTGATGGGAACCACTGCAGAGTTCTTCTTCATGGAGAAGGGCTGGCTTCTGGGAATGGATTTGGCCAGACCATGAGGAGGTGTGTTCAGACAAGGGCAGCAGGAATTCTCTGGTTCTATTGAAGACCATGCTTAACCCCAGCCAGCAATGGCAGCCTCTGTCTCTTGGCACCAATAGTTCCCAGATTACCTCTTGCCATCTCAGATTTGAGGTAGCTTGCCAGCTAGTGGCATCACACAGACTGTCATCATAAAATCATAGAATCAGAATATCAGGGTTGGCAGAGACCTCAGGAGGTCATCTAGTCCAACCCCCTGCTCAGAGCAGGAGCCACCCCAACTAAATCATCCCAGCCAGGGCTTTGTCATCCTCCTAGGGTACACCCATGTGACAACACAGATGCAGGACCTCAGTTTTAAAGTTTCATCCAGAAACATCCCATCCACTGAACTTCATGCAATTCCACTTATCTACTGTGGTGGGAGAGAAAGATTAAGTTATTCTTGCTGACATTCAAACCTGTAATGCAAGAGAATCTAGAGACTGCAAACCTGCTGCTTAGACCATTAAACCACTCCTCTGGCTGGGCTTATTGTAAAATTAGAGAGCTCATTTTGGTAGGCCATTTCCCCTCTGGCTTTGAGAACAGTACATATGCTACTAAAGCTAAGAGTAAAATTGCACTTGAGAGGCAGGCTCATCTGGATCCTAGAGCATAAGAACTGCAAAGACTCTAGGGATACAAGCTCATATCCTTGTTTATTAGCCATAGAAGAGAGAAACCAACATCCGCTACCAGGCACTTCACTGCCATGTCCACAGAACTTTCCTTCACTAGATCCTGCCTATCCTCTTTCTTATTTTATACCCTGAAAAGGGTCCCCAGCTGTCCTGCTCTTCAAGAGATAACATGCTATCACAGCATCCTGCTCCTTGCCATAACTCCTTAGAGCAGGGGTGGGCAAAGTTTTTGGCCAGAGGGCCACATCTGCATAGAGAATTGTATGGTGGGCCATGACTGCTCATGAAATTGGGGTTGGGGTGCGGGAGGAGGTGAGGGCTCTGGCTGGGGGTGGGGGCTCCACGGTGAGGACAGAAATGAAGAGTTTAGGATGCGGAAGAGGGTTCTGGGCTAGAGTAGGGGGGCTGGGATGTGGGGCGGGGTGAGGGCTCTGGCTGGGGGGTGCAGGCTTTGGGGTGGGGTTGGGGATGAGGGGTTTGGGGTGCAGGAGGGTGCTCTGGGCTGGGATTGAGGGCTTCGGAGGGTGGGAGGGGGATCAAGGCTGGGGCAGGGGGTTGGGGTTCGGGGGGAGACTCAGGGGTGCAGGCTGCGGGCAGCACTTACCTCAAGTGGTTCCCAGAAGCAGCGGCATGTCCCCCCTCTGGCTCCTACACGGAGGTGCAGCCAGGCAGGTCTGCTGCGCGCTGCCTGGTCCGCAGGTGCCGCCCCTGCGGCTCCCATTGGCTGTGGTTCCCGGCCAATGGGAGCTGCGGGGGTGACGCTTGGTGCGGGGGCAGTGTGCGGAGGGAGCCCCCTGGCTGCCCCTACGTGTAGGAGCCGGAGGGAGGCCATGCCGCTGCTTCTGGGAACCGCGCAGAGCGGCCCCCAACCCTGCTCCACAGCTGGAGCGCTGGACTGGGACAGGTCCCAGACCCCACTCCCCAGCAGGAGCTCGAGGGCCGGATTAAAATGGCTGGCAGGCCGGATCAGGCCGTAGTTTGCCTACTCCTGCCTTAGAATATTCTTAAATAATACAATAACAATGGGCAAAGTCCTAAGGGAAATGCTGAGCCCAACAACCTCCCATTACTATTAGCTCAGCACCTCTCCGGATGTGGCTCACTGCTTGCAAAGACTCTAGCAAACTTTAAGCGTCAACGCCTTCTTAACTACATAACATTTGGAAGAAGTATAAAAGTGAACAAAAAGAATGATAATTTCTTAAAGCCTGTTAAAAAATAATCTGGCATACATGTAATTATAAGAGACGTCAAAACTTCCCACAGAGAACTGAAAGCTACAAGGAAGCACAGAGTAATAAAATTACCAAGCTGCTTGTCTGCCATTTCCTCGCTTTCTAATTAAGAGACATCAGAACACTGATAATTGATTCAGTGAATCCAATGCATTTCATTGAGCAAAAAACTCAAGAGCCTCCAATCGATAACAAGACTTCACTCAAGCATATGCTGGATCACAGAAGGATCCACTTCTCCGGCCATCAGACTGGTGTGCAGACTTTGGATTGTTGCTTTGATTCCAAAACGCTGTCTCCAAAGGACAAATGCAGCCACAATCTGTGACTGCACATTGTGAGGGTGATTGACTTTACATCTGTAGATGTCATTCTGTGACAAACCCAGGTACAGCACAATATGCTCCCACTCAGGCCCCAGACTCCTGGCAAGTTTGTTAATCTGCTGATCTGTTGGTGGGTTCTTCAAAACTTCTGGTGGAATTCCAGTTAACCCGTCATCTGGAAAAAAGCAAAAAACATACATACATCACTAGGCAATATTTTGGGCAAAAAATGGGCAAGGTTAATGCAGCCGGAAGCTTCAACAAAAGGGTTAAGCTTTATGGTTAAAGACTGAATTAATTTAGGGAACAAAACATATATAAAACAGAAGGATTCATTACAAAAAAAAAAGTGATAAACTTTGTTATAGGACTCAGATTTAGGAAAATAAAAAACCTTGACATTGTGATTCTACTCAGGGTGTCTACAGAGCCTGTGGAACCAAGCCTCCCTGCCTAGGCTGACAGACTTGGGCTAGCAGGGCTCATACTAGCATAGGTGCTGGAACTAGGGGCGTGAGGGGTGCTGCCACACCCCCTGGTTTGAAGTGGTTCCCATCATATCCAGCATTTACAGTTTGGTTCAATGGCTCTGTGCCTCCACTATACAAATTGTTCCAGCACATTAGCACTCCAAAAAGAGCTGTGTAGACAGCGCTTTGAAATTGTGGCTTGGGTTGGAGCTCTGGCTCTGAAGCCCCCTCCATCCCCTTCCTAGGCTTCAGGGCCCGAGCGGCAACTTCAGTGCTTACACAGCTAGTTTCAGAGTGCTAGTGCGAGTCCTGCTAGCCAGAGCCTGTCCGCCCGGGCTGGGAGGCTTGCTGTCACAGGCTGGGTAGACATACCCTAAGAGGCCAAGATTTTCAAAACTGACTGGTGATATTGGGTGACTAACTTGAGATCCCTGAGCAGAGGGTGAGTGTTCAGCACTTTCTGAAAAGCAGGCCCCTCTAAGGTGTCAAGCTGGGCACTCAAAATCACCAGTGACTTTTGAAAACTTTGGCCGGATTTTATGTCCTAGTTGCTAAGGACAGAAGGGATCATTCTAGTCTCACCTTCTGCACAAACACAGGCCATAGAATTTCAGCCCGTAATTGCGTCAAGCCCATAATTCCTGGTTTAACTACAGTATATCTTTTAGAAAAATATCCAACCTTAAAGACATCAAGGGATGAAGAATCCACCACATTCCTAGATAACTTGTTTCAATGGTTAATTAACCTCACTGTTAAAAATTTGTGCTTTACTTTTAGTCTAAATTTGGATCTTGTTATGCCTTTGTCTGTTATATGAAAAAGCCATCTACTATCAGAAACCTTCTCCCCAGGGAGTTATTTATAGATCATCCTTTAATCATCCTCTTTTAAAGTTAAATACATTGAGCTTCTTTTGTCTCACTATGAGGCATGCTCAGATCATTCTCATTTCTGATCTCTTTCCAATTTGTCAATGTCCTTTTTGAAGCGTGACCAGGAGGAGTAGACACAGTTTTGCAGTAATGGTCTCACTAAGGCTTTATACAGTGGTAGTAAAATCTCCATACCCCTTCTTATTCCCCTGCTTATATGCCCAATGATCACATTGCACTGTGAGCTCATGTTCAGTTGGCGATCTACAAGTACCCCTAAGTCTTTTATGTGTTGCTGCTTACCAAAATATAATCCCCCATTCTATGAGTCTGATCTACATTCAGTGTGACCTAATGTTCATGCATATACCGGTAGTTGTATTAAATATATGTACTTCAAATAAGCCTAGCTTACCATGCAATCAAACTTGCTCTGTAGAACTGACCTGTCCTTACATTAGTTACCATTCCACCAGTTTTTGTCATCTGCAAACTTTGCCAGCAATGATTTTATAGTTCCTCCCCAGACCACTGATAGAGATATTGAATAACAGTGGGCCATTAAAAGATCCCTGAGGGATCCTACTAGAAATGTTCCCAGTGGATGGTGATCCCCCATTTACAGTTTTTTTTTTTTTTGAGATCTAGCAATTAGCCCAGGGGTTCTCAAACTGGGGGTCGGGATCCCTAAAGGGTCGTGAGGTTATTACATGGGGGGTTGCGACCTGTCAATCTCCACTCCAAACTCCACTTTGCCTCCAGCATTTATAATGGTGTTAAATATATAAAAAAAGGGTTTATAGTTTATAAGGGGGTGTCGCACTCAGAGGCTTGCTATGTGAAAGGGGTCACCAGTACAAAAGTTTGAGAACCACTGAGTTAGCCAGTTTTTAATCAATTTCACCAAATTGCCCATGTCTCCTCTCCACTCCTGCCAGCACAATCCCAACCTGCAATGCCCTATCTCACTCAGCTATCTGGCCTCTTCTTATTCACAATCTCCTCCCATTACAAATTATTTCCCATAATCCCTCTTCCCCAACCCAGTTCCATTCATCTGACCTTCCTCAGATCTCTTTCATGGGATTTCTTTCAGTCTCATGGTCCCAAAACAATTCTTTCGACTGGCTCCTGAATTTTGTCCAAGCTACCCAGTGCTTCCTCCAAAATCCAGACATTTATTGCTCACCTCAAAAAATTCCAACGCACGGCAAGATTTTACTACCAGAGTCACAGACTACAGTACCAGTATAGTCCATCCACCAATACAGCTACCCAAGGAAGTGCACAGGCTACCATAGTTAACAGTGTTTAAAATGTTGAAGGAATTGAACATAAAACCTCCTGTAAACCCGAGGGGCCTTCTTGAGTACTCCTTATTTAATTTCAAAGGAACTGAAAAGGATATTTTAGATCTCAATGTGCTGTTCAGAGACACAGTCTTTTGCCTGTAAAGTCACAGCTGATATTAGTTACACTGAAAATGATGCAATTAGAAAGAAGGTATTGCAAACAGATCTATGAAACCTAGTCATCCTTAGATACTAACTGTCCCTTGAGGTTACACCCTGATGCTATAGGCCAATGAATTTTGTCCTCTAAATTTGTTGCCTGGGGGATTGCATCAAAATGGAAGATAAATACCCTCCAAGAGAGCGCTAATTATAGCCTACTGATCTCAATGATGAATAAGCATCCAGCTCCCTACAGCAGAGCCGTTTTGTGAAATCTAATTCATAGCTCCAATATCATGCTCATAGTCTCCATCAATGTAACACAGTAACAGTGAAAATGCAGCACTCCCTTTACATGAAAAGTTTCTTGTAAAATATTTTTTGCATAAAATATCCAGGGCCTGCAGATCATTTGGGTCATTCGAGACTGATGTACACTATCAAGAGCTGTTTTGAATAAAAGAAATAATTACTGTCTAAAAAATATTTTAGGCTGCTTTCATCTTTATGTTTCCAGACTACTAGAAGAGCCCTGGGGGGTTGGATGGTTAACAGAGGACTAATAATGGGCTACTCTGCCTTCCTTAGGTCACCAGTACAAACCCAGCCCAAGTCAGTACTAGCTGAACAGTATGACCCCCAAATGGCCATTTGGTGGCTTATGGGAAATGAATTGGTGGTCTCAGTCCAGATCACAGTGGACGTAATTTCAAGTCAGTTTACAAAAGTGGATTACTTTGGGCCTGATCCACTGAAGTTAATCAATGTCTTTCAACTGACTTCAGTAAGCTTTGAGTCATGCCTTTTGTTGGCAATCTCAGCAAAGGGATCAAGGATGAAATGGGTAAGAAAACTGAACTACCCTCTCATCAGTAGAGGGGGTCTCTCCAGAAAAGGGTTGAGACAACATTGGTGGGGCTGCCTGTACTGCCGCTTCCCAGCTCTGCAAGTAATCAGAGGCCTTCTGTCTCCATAACTAAAAATCTAAACCCTCCGTGAACAAATATTTAACTAAAACTAAAATTTAAAAGATATGGCACAGTATAACTATGGTTATATTGTACTCTGGCTGATAATATCTCGTGGTAATACAGTTATTATTATGCTTAGTTACTAAATATAAAATGACTGCTCCCCTCCCCCCAAAGAACTGTTATCTGCCAACCTCCTGTGATCTTTGCTCTCATACCAAACTGTTTACATTATCTGGGCACTAGCAATAAGATGATTTTATGCTGAGGATATTGAAATGTGATTATGCAGGGAGGCTTGACAAAAACACGTTATCCTGCCCTTCCATTCTCTAATATTAAACAGATTTCTACATCTAGTTGTGACCCAGGGAACCCTTGGTGCCAACTAGCAGAAAGCACAGGGCTTGGATAGGGTTTTACAGGGATCTCCTGGGTCAGATATCTGCATGATAACTCACCAAAAGGTGGCATGAAAGGTCTCTACCGAGAGCCGGTAGCCCACTGCTTGCCATAACCATTGCAAAATGTATGTAGGGATAATATTTAAGGAGTTATGTATCTACACTGAAAATTACACCTCTACCCCGATATAACACTGTCCTCTGGAGCCAAAAAATCTTACCGCGTTATAGGTGAAATCGTGTTATATCGAACTTGCTTTGATCCGCCGGAGTGCGCAGTCCCGCCCCCCCGGAGCACTGCTTTACCGCGTTATATCCAAATTCGTGTTATATTGGGTTGCGTTCTATCGGGGAGAGGTGTATGTTCTTAAGGTCTTAGAGTAAGGGAGGTCACCAAGAGGTAACATACCTTGGACATACTCCTTTCAGGTAGGAGGTAGCAGATACTTATATCCCTGTCTGATCATTTGTGTATTGTCTGCCTCACACTGGAGGCCTATTTGCATACTGAGCCAGGTGCCAGTCAAAAAGCTGCGAAATCTTCAAAAGAGAAAATCTATAGTAAGAAACAGATACAGCAGGTGGAGTGTCCTGTTTATGGAAGTAGACAAAAGATGGGACTGGTACATACGGGAGGGGCAAAGAAACTCACTCGGTCATCCTTCACCTAGGAGACAAGCTGACAGGTTGTCTATCTCATGAAAGGAGGATTACAGCCAAGCCTGGTTGTAAAGCGCTGCAAGGATTTTGGGTGAGCATTGCTCTAAGACACGAAAATACCTTAGTAGTAGTTAAGTCTAAACTTTAGGATGAGTGTTATGATTTTGTTTTATAGGTAATTATTTCTTTCCACTACTTCTACTTGCTACTACTTCAGTCTCTGTATTTTGTTAAATAAACTTATAATTAATTTCATTATGAATAGGGCCCTACCAAATTCACGGTCCATTTTGGTCAATTTCACGGACATAGGATTTTAAAAATAAGAAGTTTCATGATTT